GAAGTGTTGCATTTTGATTCAAGTGGGTCGCCAACGTGGTAAGTGTAAGCAAGACTTTTTTGGTTAATCACTTCCATCGATATCACGCAAAAAAAAACTACAGTTGTAGGCTACTACCCATGAGACCTATAGGCCTATGCCCTCGCAATGGCCGGTGCGTGTGCCGCTCCATATCCCAAAGCCATATCAAATATCTTGCTTGTACAATAGCTGCTATTGAGCTGAATATTGACAGTTGTATTTTTCCCGCAATTTTGCATTTTTAAATGTTATACGATCAGAACAACATTTTCTCAACAATGCATGGGGGGGAGAGGAGAGTTGCTCGCTTATACAGCAGCAGGCCACAGCGAAACAAACTTTCATTAGAGGAATCATGAGGATAATACACTTTACTGTTTGACCAAAACATGGTTTTAGCCGCCCTCAAAAATAGGACATTTTGAGTGAGGTAACAGTGTAGAATGTGCTCTTTTTATAGTAACCCTTTTGTTTTGTTTTTTTACGATCCATGATCTTGGCTGTCTAACTAATAACAGTCGGAATAGGTCTCTAGGCTGATGCTGCGTTTGACTTTGAATTTGTGTGAGCTCAGCCTATCAGAAAACCGGGCCGGCCCATTTTGGTAGAGGGACGACTGTTGCCCACTGATCACACAGGCCCCTTATAGATTAGTATAACAGGGAAATTGCGCAAAAATCTTTAAATAAAAATCTTAACAGGCCCATGGGCCGCCGGCCATGTCACCTTTTCCGTAAAAAAATTATATATATACAGTACCAGTCAAAAGTTAGGACATACCTACTCATTCAAGGGTTTTTCTTAATTTTTTACTATTTTCTACATTGTAGAATAATAGTGAAGATATCAAAACTATGAAATAACATATATGGAATCATGTAGTAACCAAAAAATTGTTAAACAAATCAAAATATATTTTATATTTGAGATTCTTCAAAGTAGCCACTCTTTGCTTTGATGACAGCTTTGCACACTCTTGGCATTCTCTCAACCATCTTCATGAGGTAGTCACCTGGAATGCATTTCAATTAACAGGTGTGCCTTCTTAAAAGTTAATTTGTGGAATTTCTTTCCTTCTTAATGCGTTTGAGCCAATCAGTTGTGTTATTACAAGGTAGGGGGGGTATACAGAAGATAGACCTATTTGGTAAAAGCCCAAGTCCATATTATGGCAAGAACAGCTCAAATAAGCAAAGAGAAATGACAGTCCATCATTACTTTAAGACATGAAGGTCAGTCAATCTGGAAAATGTCAAGAACTTTGAAAGTTTCTTCAAGTGCAGTCGCAAAAACCATCAAGCGCTATGATGAAACTGGCTCTCATGAGGACCGCCACAGGAAAGGAAGACCCAGAGTTACCTCTGCTGCAGAGGATAAGTTCATTAGAGTTACCAGCCTCAGACATTGCAGCCCAAATAAATGCTTCAGAGTTCAAGTAACAGACACATCTCAACATCAACTGTTCAGAGGAGACAGCATGAATCAGGCCTTCATGGTCGAATTGCTGCAAAGAAACTACTACTAAAGGACACCAATAATAAGAAGAGACTTGCTTGGGCCAAGAAACACGAGCAGTGGACATTAGACCGGTGGAAATCTGTCCTTTGGTCTGATGAGTCCAAATTTGAGATTTTTGGTTCCAACCACTGTCTTTGTGAGACGTAGAGTTGGCGAACGGATGATCTCGGCATGTGTGGTTCCCACCGTGAAGCATGGAGGAGGAGGTGTGATGGTGTTGCTTTGCTGGTGACACTGTAGGTGATTCATTTAGAATTGAAGGCACACTTACCCAGCATGGCTACCACAGCATTCTGCAGCGATACGTCATCCCATCTGGTTTGCAATTAGTGGGACTCATTTGTTTTTCAACAGGACAATGACCCAACACACCTCCAGGCTGTGTAAGGGCTATTTTACCAAGAAGGAGAGTGATAGCGTGCTGCATCAGATGGCCTGGCCTCCACAATCACCCGATCTCAACCCAATTGAGATGTTTTGGGATGAGTTGGACCACAGAGTGAAGGAAAAGCAGCCAACAAGTGCTCAGCATATGTGGGAACTCCTTCAAGACTTGGAAAAGAATTCCAGCTGAAGCTGGTTGAGAGAATGCCAAGAGTGTGCAAAGCTGTCATCAAGGCAAAGGGTGGCTACTTTGAAGAATCTCAAATATAAAATATATTTGTTTAACACTTTTTTGGTTACTACATAATTCCATATGTGTTATTTCATAGTTTTGATGTCTTCACTATTATTCTACATTGTAGAAAATAGTAAAAATAAAGAAAAACTCTTGAATGAGTAGGTGTGTCCAAACTTTTGACTGATACTTTATATATATATATATATATATATATATATATATAAAAAGGTTCCAGCCCATCGGCATTTGCCAGAATTGCCAGATGGCCAATCCGCCCCTGTTTAAAAGTGTTCTTACACTACGATTTAGCTTGCTACACAACAACTTCTGTGTGATAGGAGGCATGAGCACCACCACCAATTAGCCTACGCCACTGCACACACACTCACCATTACCATGACAACTAGCGTAGCCGTGTCAGCAAATGACTATAGTGAAATCCAATTTGGTCACTTGTAACTTGCTGTTTGGACAGTCAGTATTCCAAAACGGATTTGAAAAACAAAACTTATTTGAGCATTAAGGCCTGCAGTGTGAACAGGGCTTTATATACCCTAGTAGCGCTACATCAAAAGAGTGGCAGGGCTGAGCTTATTATAGTGCCGCCTATGGGCCATTCAGTTCGAAGTTTGGCCCCATAATTAAAGATCCCACTAGATGGGCGAGTGGCAAAGTCAAAATTTGCGATATCGTCAACAAAAAAAAACCTTTGCTTTTTGGTCTTCCATTTAAGTTTCGGGTTAGGCATAAGGTTAGGATTAGGTTTAAAATGATATTTTAAGAAGATCAATTGACGAAATAGGCAGGGTTTATGACTTTGCCACTTGCCCAGATAGTGACGACTCATAACTACATCTTGTGTGTTCTGCATATATTGCATTTCTTATCACTTTTTGTCAACCTGGGCTTGAGATATTGGCCCCAAATCTTAGCATAAATGCTAACAGTTTTTAGGTTCACAACTGAATTGCTTCCTGTTTCCATGTTTTTGGCGATATCGACACGTGTTTCGTAGTAGACCTTCCTTTTAGTGTCCTTAAGCCCCACAATCAGTTCGAAGTTGATTGGTCAAAGAGAAGTTTAGCAGTTTAGACTAGTTTGGGGTGGGGACATGTAATATTGTTTTTTCAAAATTGTCATTTTCTTAGGTCATCTTTTGATGAAATTCTTAGCTTTTCACAAACTCCGTAACGACAGAGTTTGTAAACTTATGTTCAGAATTTAAGTGAATTGGACGTGAAAATATAGCTCTTTGGCCATGCACCCCAGTTGGGGGTTTGGCATCGAAAGAAGAATGGGATAAGCAGAAAATAACCCCATACCAACTGTAAAATATTGTGGAGGGTCTTTGGAGTTTTAGCCTCCTAGCAGAGGCAATGAGGTTTTTGGCTAAAATGTCCTGGTCCTGGGTAAGGTTAATGATGCTGTTGACCTTAACAAGGGCCCCAGGACCAGGACATTTTAGCCAAAAACCTCATTGCCTCTGCTAGGAGGCTAAAACTTGGCCGAAAGTGGATCTTCCAGCAAGATAATAACCCCAAGCATATCAAATTCCACAAATAAATTGTTAATTGACCACAAAATCAACATTTTGTAATGGCGATCTCAGTCTCCGGACTTGAACCCCATTGAAAACCTGTGGTTTGAATTGAAGAGGGCAGTCCATAAGCGCATACACAGGATATCAAGGATCTGGAAATATTCTGTATGGAGGAATGTTCTAAGATCTCTTCCAATGTGTTCTCCAATCTCATAAAACATTTTAGAAAAAGGCTCCGTGTCGTTATCCTTACAAGGGGAGCCAATAATTTGAAAACGGGTGCCAATAACTTTTATTTTATTTTGTATTACTTCTCTGAGCAATCGTATCAGTATAAAATATATATATAAAAATGTCGCATACAATACAGCTCAGTATTTGTATTATTTATTTTTGCTCGTCTTTATCAAGAGTGCCAATACAATTTCAGTCATTACTGCGTATACTGAATTTCTTAGCTCTCCGTCAAACGGCGTGGCAGGCTGAGCTTTTTAATTTTAAGGTAGACTCAGCGATATGACGTAGATGCAGAAAGTAAACAGCATAGTGGGTCAATTTCCTAAACAACTAAGAGCGTTGATGGGCGAGCTCAACTTCTCTGCTCTTTTGGTCCCGTGGCTCCCACGCTGTAAAAGTGTGAAACAAACCTTTGCTCTTGCGCAGATACTGTGTGTGACTGTGTGAGAGTGAAGTCTCAATATCTGCGGTGCTGCTCCTGGCAATGTCTTTTTGCTGAGTCTACCTTTAAGTGCTTATTATAGTGCCACCTGTGGGACGTTCAGTTCGGGGATTGGCAGTTTTACTTGACAACCTGGGCTTGAGATATTGGCCCCATGCAAGGAGAATCACACAAAAACAATAAGGCTCTGAGCCACTACGTGGATTGGAGCTTTATTAATAAATAATAAAAATACATGGAATTTATATAGCATTTTTCAAGGACCCAAAGATACTTTAGATGGTTTCAAAGAAGCACAAGAAACACAAATCTATACAAAAACAATGGCAGACTAAAGAAAGAGAAAAATATTAAAGAAGGGAGTAGGGTTCTCAAGGAAAGGGTGTGATGTGTCAGTGTATGAGTGAGCGACTGTTGTATTGAATACAACCAAATCTAACTGCATTGATTTGTTCTCAATTAAGAGGTGGCCTGTTTTGTTCCTGTATCGTATCGAACACAGGCCGAACCTTCTTAAGGGAAAGATAGTCAAACTCTCAAGAGAAAGATTTACCAGTCTAAAGATTTGAATTACCTGAATTGTATCGCTGCGAGTTGTTTATATATATTTTATTTTTCCTTTTCAGTGGGACAGGTGTCTTTTACCAAGCGATGCCAGCTGTGGGAACCGATGGAAGAAATGTTATGAAACTGATCCCTGTTCAAAAGGTCAACGGACAGTTTGTTCGATCACCAATGGGCACTATAAAGGACATCGCTGAACCTAAACGAGACCATACCTCGAACGCTCCATCAATTTCGAAGAGTAACATATCTATTTCGGCACCCACAGCTAAAGAACAATTTGTGAATAAAAGGCCATTTTACATGAGTACCTCTCCAAATCCAGCCAATCTAACAGGAATATATCCTTCAGTGCGCATCCAGACTCCTATAGTAACAACAAAAGTTGCCCAAAGTGCAGGAGCCTTGACATCACCTGAGCTTACCTGTGGGAAGACAGTTGGCCTAACACTTATAAATAAGAAAAAGCTGCCAGTCACTGTGAAATCCCCAGCGCTTCCAAATGGTCAATACCTTCAAATTCCCACTAATGCACAAGTCAAAACCCTCCCAGCATCCGCACTCCCCCCAGCCATAAAGAGACAGATATTTACTTCATCAACGACCTGTGCCTCAAATTCGCCAATGGTTCTTTATGTGTCCCCTGTCCAAACCATGAAGCATAATTCTGTACCAGCATCTCCGAAGTCAGTCCCCTCACTCAGCCGACTTCCAAGGTCATCTGGCCAAACACTTTCTACATCCTCTTCAACAGGCTCAACACAGTGTTCTACTACTGCCAAGGATGGCAAAAGACCGGTCACTCCTATTAAGTGGGTGATTGAGGAGGCGGATGGCTTACCTGCACCATGCCTTGTTCCTGTGAATTCCTCTTCTATGACCTCAGATATCCTGAAAACTCTGGCAGAGATGGAAAAAGCCACCAAAATGTGTGAAAACACAGCTAAAAAGTCTTCACCTTCCCAAGAGAGTCAGACAAAAATTGGACAAGAGAAGGACAATGCCTTAGTGATGTACAATGGGAAGGTGTATTATGTGGCCAACAAAACCCCTGAGCTTTGTAACCGACCATCAAAACCCTTGGAGGCCAGAAGGAGCATGGGTACCTCCTCCACACAGGCAACGGAAAGTGTTGGATTCAATCAGAGAATCAGCTTACCGCCCTCCCTACCCTCGTGCTCCTCATTTGGATCACAATTGTCAAATAAAACCAGACCAGACCCAAAATACATTGTCATACCAGATGAAATCATTGACCTCTGTGACGATGATTCCCAGGATGACCTCACGTGCCAGGCAATATCAACAAGGGATGTAACCAGGCAACTTTTCAGACAGTCTGAAGTTGATGAGGACAAAGACTCCAATGTAATATTTGTCTCATACCTTCCACCCAAAGCGGTGCCTAAAGTAGGTGAAGGAGACAAAGAAATGGCTCATATGCTGGATGACTTGGAAGCTGAACAAGAAATGGTACGTAGTCAAGATAATTTGAAAGGCCAGGTAGTGGATAGTCAGAACAAAGTATCTGGCCTGTCAATAAAAAGGTGTCAGAACGTTGGTACTACCCAAGACATGGCAGGCTGTCAAGGTATTGCAACAGGCCAAGAGTTGAACTCCCGTCAGCAAAACATCACTGGTCAGGTCTGGAAAAGACCGCACATGGAAGGATTTCATGGCAGTGCAACTGGACTCAGAATTGAGAACATTCAGAGTGGTGCGACCAGCCAGGAAATGGGAAGCAGTCAGCCCAGTGCCTTCACCCAAGAAATTGGGAACATCCAGGATGATGCCACTGACCAGGGCATTGGAAATAGTCAGCAGAATGCCTCCACTCAAGAAATAGAGAACATTCCTGGAAGCATCGCTCTCCAAACAGAAATGGAGACACACAAAGAAAACGTAAGACAACCCACTACTCAGATTACTACATGATCAGTAGGATAGCTAATAAGGTAAACTAATAAGGTAAACTTTTAATCTTGATCAATTTCAGAGTTCATCAGATCCCATTCCTGAGCAGCGGGCTTCCATGTTGGACCAGGAATCCCTGGAAACTTGTGATCGCCTGCTGAAACAGATGTTTGGGATCACATCTGATGTGAAGATATGTTTGAAGAGGATAGATTCTAAACCCAAGGCTAACCCTATGGTGTTTCCTCAGATTGGTACCACAAACAAACATACCATAGAGGCTATTCGCAAATTGTTACAGGGATCAATATTTGTGACAAAAAAGAGGGTACACAATGAAACACAGGTAACTGATGATTTTCAACTTTTCTAAAGCTTTCTAATGGATTTTGAACTGTATATTGATATTGCCTATTAGATTGTCAAAGTTGAGTTTGGAGACAGAAAGTCCACATTGTTTTACCATTCATTAGAACAGCATTTTCCAAGATGCTATTACTGTATTTCCCACTCTGAAATTAAACACCTTGTTTTCTCACAGGTCTCTGCCACAAGGAACAATGATAGTTGCCCAAAAGATGCTAAAAGACAGAAAATAGAAAAAGTTGAAAATGCATCTGAAAGTTCAGAAAATCCAGAATCCCTTACCAGTCCAACTCCTCAGCTGAACATGTTATCTGATGGTGAACAGATATTTGTTCATGAGGAACCGACTGTCAATGATTTAATTTCCACCACAGATGAAACAGGGATCCCTTCCAAACTTCTGCCAGATATTGATCTGGTACATATTTCAAAACGAAGCTCCAACTCACCCGTTCCATCTGTCTACCCACAAACAAACACTGAAGCTATGGATTGCGCTCCTGGGCCCTGCTGTGGTACAGCAAGCAACATAAAGCCAAACTCTAGAAGTAGAAGAAGGGGAAAAGGGAGAAGATGCACTGTGTGTCCATGTGAGGTGACTGGAACACAAGTACAAGTCAAAGCAATGTGCTCATCATCCACTTCACAAGAGGAGCCTGGTTCATCTAAACCACTAAACACCAAGTCCTCAGGGAACCATAACAGTGCAATTGCAAAGTCGGTTAAACAAAAGGGGAGAAAGTCCACAAAGGCTCAAACGAAAGATAAAGAGCCAGCATCTATGGAGATCCAATGTCCTTCAACTATGAGTGAGCAGGGAAGTAGTACAGCTGGAGAGATCCCAACCAGTTATCTCTGCTCTACAGCACCCATGGACCCTGAAGAAATCAAGCGTCATGAGAGAATCAAACGACTGAAAGATCTCTTGAAGGAGAAGGAAGCTGCTCTTGAGATGATTAGAAAGAACGTGGGCTGAGTTGGAGAGGACTGAATCACTTTCCAAATTCCACAGTGTATTTCACAACTTCAGCCTTGTAGAACTCTTGTTTTAATAATCATATTTATGTAATTTAAGTTTTATTCCCTGCAGGAAATTCACTTATTTTCAGTATTGAATGTTTAATTCCAAAATACAATAATTCGGGCAATGAAATGTAACTAACTTTCCTGTTTTTCCTAGTGGATAAGGGTATTGAGAAAATATATTGATGCATTGACTAAGCATCTTAAGATGTTTTAGAAAATATTTACATTTTACAGACTAGCATTTTCCAATGTTTGTATTTCTGCCTTTTCAGCTTTTGCACAGTGTTTCTATATTTGTTCTGCAAAGATGGATCACAATGCTATCTTCAAACTGCATACAGATACTTGTTGGCTTCCTTAAGAGTATTTTATTTTAGAATGGACTAATGTAATATTTACATTTGGTTAGTAGGCATAAGTGTTTTTCTGTCTACAAATGAAAATACTGTAACTCAAAACATTTCATAAGTCATGTGTTGTAGGAGTAATCCAGGACTCCAAAGGGAATATTTCAATTGCATACTCCTCTCTCATCTCCTCCAAAACCCATTGGATGAAAAAGCCAGAGGTCCCGCCCCTCTGACCTTCTCCTCCGATAGGTGTTGAGAAGGAGACAAGGGACTTCATCACCAAGGACATCATCCTGACAATTTACCACACCATGATTACAACTCACCTGGACTACTGTGCCACAGTATGGCTTCCAACCCTACATCAGTGCAATAAGACCGGTCTCAACCAGCTACAGCGTATCATCAACAGGGCTGTTCGTATCGACCGGGCATTCACAGAGGGAACACAAAGACAGAGGTTCTTCTGCAAAAAGATGGAATCGAACCACTGAAGGTCAGGATCCATTACAACACCCTAGTGACTGTTTTCAAGGCGACACAGCACAAACTGCCTGAATACGTCAGACCTGTTCAGGTGGGAGTCTCCCCCATCCTCCGGGGGCGTACCAGAGCAGCAGTCAAAGCCTAGGATGGGACCTGCACCTACTGGCACAACCATTAGCGAAAAACATTGCCTTTCAAGGCAGTCTGATGTTCTTTGGACCATTGCTCTGGAACAAGCTGGACTTATCCACACGACAGCTAGCTAGCATGTCCACCTTCAAGAGAGCAGTACACATAGCTGTAATGTGAGCGTTGTTTTGTACGTAGGCTACCGCATATTATGTGTGTGCTTCTGTGTATGCTGTGATTTTCGATGTGCTTTTGTATGTATGCCAATGGGTATGCTGTATATGTTTTTATTGATTGTGTGGAACCCAGGACTCCCTGGAAAACAGTGGCAATTGTTACTGAGTGGACTATCCTTGCTAAATATGTTAAATTAAATTAAATTGAGAGAGGATGCGAGGAGTATGCAATTGAGATATTCTCGAGGACTGTTTTGAAAGGCTCATAAGAAAAGGTTGTTTTGTTGCTCTTTGTTTTGTATTGAATAAAAACATGTTTACATTAATGTTATTGCAAATGCATATTTAGTTGAATATATCAGATTTGTTTGTGCAATAGGACTTAAGTGGATAATTATAATTTAGTGTAAAATTAGTGTATTTGGCTTTTTGTAATGACATTGCATTTGTAAGCACTATCAAAATAGTGTAGAGAGAATGCTAAAACAAAAGCAGAAATTATGCACCCAAGTTTAGGGCTAAATTATACATTTTCACTGCCTCTAATTTTGGGCACAGGAAGTTACCACTGCAGTGAATAAGCTGTGTGAAGCCAGCATCAATAAGGAACAATAAGGCTGGGATTAAATTGGTATAACATGAAAAAAAATCACATACCAAGATGTGTGTAATAATACCATATGATTAGAATCAGAAGCAACTGTGGAAAATATGATTAACTCCCATTATGTGTATTACACACTATGTGGAAGACCATCTGTATATATTATTTCATAACTGGGTTTATTATACTATACACAAGTAGTATCCAAACCACAGCACCATTGAGGCAATCTCCATTTTGAAGTAGTCCATTTTCTACTTACTACTTCTATGAGTTGGCAACATAGAGAATGATAGAGGCCTCTAGTGGCCAAAAGGCTGTATTAGCATGTGCAGCGGCATTGAAGGCTTCCACCAGTTTAATGTAGTCAACTGGGTGGGACTTCCAACTTCATTGACTGATCCCTCCTGTTAACACGGTTGGAGTCATGTTCAAACGGGACATCAGGAGGGATCAGCCAATCGTGAAGAAGAAAATGTACTACTTAAAAATGGAGATTGCCTCAACTGCCCATGCTTTCACAGACGCTATAATTGCACAGATACAAAGATGAGTCCTCTAACTCTATGGTTTGCAAACAAAGGGTATAATTCATTGGCTGATCCCTCCTGATGGAACCATGTGATCCTTCCTTAACCCATAGGAAGTCCCACCCAGTTGACTACTTTAAAATGGTGGAAGCCCTCAATGGCAACGTCTATGCCAAAACGGGTTTTAGCCATCTAGAGTCCTTTAACTATGATGATACCCGAGTTTCCCACTTGGAAAGTATCAGAATCATCAATGGGAAGCAAATAATGTACGTACATTTTAACTCTGAGCTTACGCATTTCCGACTTGTAATTAATAAAGTGTTGCTGGAAAATATGTGAAATTCTCACTATTTGTTAACTATATGCACATGAATGTGGTCCCGTGTGACTCAGTTGGTAAAGCATGGCGCTTGCAACGCCAGGGTTGTGGGTTCGATTCCCATGGGGGACCAGTACGAAAATGTATGCACTTGCTACTGTAAGTCGCTCTGGATAAGAGCGTCTGCTAAATGACTGAAATGTAAATGGTTGGAGCATACATGTTGGGTAATACAAAGTTGCCTGCATAGACACTATATCTATGGATGCATGTACCAGATATTTTCATCTGGCTGGTGAGGCTCAGTGTTGCCAACTCCTCAGTAAGGAAAGTAGCTATTGGCTGTCCTAAAAGTCACTAAATGATGTCATCACCTAATTTGCATAATTGGCAATGTGCATGTAATTGTGATGGACGCTGTAGGAGAGAGAAATAATATCGTTTTTTTTTATGTCACAATTCCAACCCTCCTCCTTTATCCGGGCTTGGGACCGGCAAAAGTGACCCAAAAGAGACACTGGCGGAGTTACCTAGTTTTTTTTTTTTTTTTTTTTTTTTTAAACATTTATTTTAGATTTGTTTAGTTTTCTTAAGTTTTGTTTGGTTTATAACCTTATGGTCCACTTAGGAGCCTACAACAAGTCACAGTAAAACATGAAAATGTTTAACCATTACATTTTTTTTTTTTTTTTTGTATACAATCTACATTAACAATCTTAATGGACCAATAAGAGACAATAGAAAAAACTGTCAATGGCAATGTGAGAAAATTATGGCCCTAATTCAGGTTAATTGTTTTTTTTCCAGACCCCCCTCCACACACACACAGGCTGTGCTGGCTCACAGAAAGAGTGGGTCATTGTCATTTTGGTCAAGGCTCTCTATGGCAGGTTCAGCAACTGAGGGAGCTGACTTAAATGAGTAAGCAGCTGATGTGCCAAAAAGCTGCAAAACATTATCAGGCAGCTGGTGCTCATAGCAAGCCTCACCAGACAGCTTCAGTCCATATCGAATGTACAGGATGGAGTTAAGGGTCTGCAAGGACATCTGATTTCTAAGTTGACTTTTTACCACACCCATCTGGCTGAATACTCTCTCGACTTCAGCATTCGAGTGTGGCAAGGACAACACAGACACTGCAGCCATGGCAAGTTCTTGAAACGGGTTGATATCAGCTGCATCCCTGAACTTCCAAATCTCACTCCAGAAGCCCATTGTGTTTTTTTGTCTCATTCCATTTACTAAGATGGATGGCACGCCATTGCTGGACAATCTTGTCTATCTCTGCAGGGGAGTAGCCAAGGAGCTTGGCAATTTTTTATATTTCTCCAGGGCACTTATTGTGCTTTAGAGTTTCCTCCACATTGAAAACTGACATGTACTGCAATGCTTTGATGTTGTCCGGCAGTCTCACCCTCAACTCATTAGTGAGGGAGATGGTGAAGGCTACACACCGCTTTCGGACATTGTTTTCATCCTCAGGCGCAAGGTGGAGCTCAGCTGCCTTTGACTCAAAAAGGTAACCAAGGTACAGTTTGGGACTGATGTATCCATCTTTTGGCCGTTTGAGTACATCAACATTTGCCAGTGGATTCAGCACCCTGCTGCTCACAGACTTGATCAGGCTAACCAAGCTGTCAAGTAGCTTAAGAGGATCTACTTGCTCTCCCTCAAAAGCCTTGATGGCCAACTGTACCTCACCCAGCACTGACTTCAAAAAAGTCAGATACAATATGTTTTGAGGATCACTGTACATGGAGTATACAACCTCAGCCATGTAGCAGTGTTCACTGGACTTGGTGACTGCGAAATGCAGCCTAAGCTCCTCCCACTGGTCCAAAATGTGTGAAACCGCGGGTTCAATGGAGAGCCAACGTGTGGCACACACCTTGGTTATCTGTAAAGGTTTCTCCCCACAGTTGATGGTCTCATATATGGCCTTGTAGGCCTCCCTGCGCTTTGGAGACACTGAAAACCAGTTATAAGTCTCTCGTACCAAGTACTCCACACTACGGGGGATGGTGTCATTGGAAGCATGACTTACAGCAAGCTGCAGAGAGTGGCACACACAGCGAATAAGAACCAGATCTTTGAGGCCATACTCCTCCTTCAGCACTTTATGGACCCCATTGTTAATCCCCAGAGGCATTGTCAGTCCATATCCTCAGGAGTTTCTCTTTTTTAAGACAACACTTCTCGAGGAAAGCCACAACAGCAAGGGCTATAGATTTGGCATCTCCTCCCTCCAACTCAACAAGCCCCAGAAATGTTGATACAATTGTCTACTTGGTGTCACTAAAGTACCTTATCACAACCCCCAGGTACTTAGAAACACTTACATCCGTGGACTCATCGAGGAGGAGGCTGAAACGCTGGTCACCCACATCTGCGACCAACTTTTTCATAAAGTATGGTGCTAGAACACCATTAATCATTTCTGTGCACTTTGTCCTGTGCATTTTGAAGTGGGTAGCAGCAGTGGAGTCTGAGAAAGCAGCTCTACATGCTTCTCCAATGTGATCACATGCCAGCATGGAACAGTGTTCAGCGATAGCTAATGCCATGGTGGCCTCAGCCTTTTTTGCAGAGTCAACTTTTTTAACCATAAATGGCAGCTTGTTTTGGGTAGAACTGTTATAAGGCTTTGCCTTTTGAGTATGTTTTTGAGTTGTCATGTATTTTTTACATCACTAAGTTTGGCGTAGAAATCAGCCTTACAATACAGACAGTATGCCCGTGTATCATCTCCAATAAATGGCTTCAACCAGCCTTTGAATTCAGGGTTTGATTCTCACTCCTTTCTGTATTTTTGAGTGTACAGTTTAGACTGAGACATGATGAGCTAGCAAGGTAGATGTTTAGCTTATGTCACAGAGGCACACACACAGTGGACGAGGTGAGTAATGATGTTTTTTAAATATATATATACTATTACCCCCTTTTTCGTGATATCCAATTGGTAGTTACGATCTTGTCGCTGCAAATCCCCTACGGCCTCGGGAGAGGCATGCGTCCTCCGAAACACGACCCTGCCAAGCCGCACTGCTTCTTGACACACTGCTCGCTTAACCCGGAAGCCAGCTGCACCAATGTGTTGGAGGAAACACAGTCAACTGAGGATCAAAGTCAACTTGCATGCGCCCGGCGCACCACAAGGAGTCGCTAGAGCATGATGAGACAATGAAATCCCTGCCGGCCAAACCCTCCCCTAACCCGGACGACGCTGGGCCAATTGTGCACCGCCCTGGGATCGAACCCGTGGCTCTAGTGGCGCATCAGCACAGTGATGCAGTGCCTTAGACCGCTGCGTCACTCGGGAGGAAAATATGTTTTATTTTATTTTTTACATTGTTTGTAAACTGATATGTGACACGTATTAATGCCAAAATAACATGCAAAACAGACAACAAAAAAATTAATAATCATAATACCCCACCTGCGCTGAATGACGGGTCACCACTGGTCATCATGACATGTGGCACTTTGGGGTGGACACCCACCTATCTCAATCAATAAGAGAAGATTTGACATAGACAAGATGGCTGCGTACACGTTGGATTACTTCATGGAGCAAAACATTTATTTAATTTAATAACTGAGCATTTTCGAAATTCAAATGAATCCCCTGCAACTATACTGAACAAAAATATTAACGCAACATGTTTAAAGTGTTGGACCCATGTTTCATGAGCTGAAATAAAAGATCCCAGACATTTTCCATACACACAGAAAGCTTATTTCTCTCAAATTTCGTGCACAAATTTGTTTACATCCCTGTTAGTGAGCATTTCTCCTTTGCCAAGATAATCCATCCACCTGACTGGTGTGGCATATCAAGAAGCTGATTAAACAGCATGATCATTACACAGGTGCACCATGTGCTGGGGACAATAAAAGGCCACTCTAAAATGCTGACTGCAGGAATGTCCACCAGAGCTGTTGCCAGAGAATTGAATGTTAATTTCTCTACAATAAGCCGCCTCCAACGTCTTTTTAAAGAATTTGGCAGTATGTCCAACCGGCTTCACAACTGAAGACCACTTGTAACCACGCCAGCCCAGCACCTCCACATCCGGCTTCTTCACCTGCGGGATCGTCTGAGGGGGTGCTGAGGAGTATTTCTGTCTGTAATAAAGCCCTTTTGTGGGGAAAAATGTCATTCTGATTTGCTGGGCCTGGCTCCCCAGTGGGTGCCTTTGCCCAGTCATGTGAAATCCATAGATTAGGACCTAATGAATTTATTTAAATTGACTGATTTCCTTATATGAACTGCAACTCATCAAAACCTTTGAAATTGTTGCATGTTGCGTTTATATTTTTGCTCAGTGGATATGTTCGTTTGGAAGACGTGTTTTCTTCCATGTCGGGAATTGAGGAAGGATCTCTGTGCTACGCTTAAAATGACCTACCTAATAAAGCCTATCAACCAGCTGGAACAATAATATTTTTTATACTACAAATGGGCCACAAATACGTGAACAATGGATCAAATCCATCCATGACACTTTCACATACTGGTTGTAATATCTGCATGCAAATTGACTTTCTATTGTAATATAAGCTTTGTATCATTAGTTTACAAAAATTTGTTTTGTTATGATAAGACTATTGACAGATGTACAGTAGGTTACTTGTAATCTCACAGTCACATAAAAGCAACGAGTAGGTTTTCATCAAAAAGAAAGGAGGACCAAGGCACTCTTCATATAATTAATTTAAATGCCTTTATATGGCATGTTCAATGGAAACAAAGTCTAAAAACTCCGACACGTTTCGGCTGCATGGCCTTTGTTACCAAAGAGCACCTTCTGTCTAACAAAATGGACTATGTGTACCTTAGCAGCGCTTCCCTTCCTTCTCTTTTTTTATACAAGTATGTTTTCATTATTTGAAATGACTAAATCTACAGATTGTGGCTTTAAGTGCCCAATAACTAACTGTATGCAATGTTATAGTATATGCGGCATAAGTGTAAACCACCTTTGCTATAGCTTTCAGCCAGCTGTGGAAGTCAATGTGAAAAGATGTAGGGCACAGACATCCTGGAGAACTTTGAGATCTACATCCCTTTAGAGGCAGAGGTGAAAATCACTCCTATTCAGACTCTGCCAACCTCCATTTTGAGAGTGATTGGGTGCCCCGCACTCACAGTGGCAGTGCCAAGAAAGGGTCCTCGCCTTCAGCCACGTGGAACTCTCCGATGGTCATCCGGGAGAGAGGCTGTTCACCGGCCAGCCCAACAGTGGACACCGCCAAGATGAACCTGACCTCACTGGAGACAACAGAATCCAAGGCAGCACAGGGTCCCTTCTTCATGACCTTCGTCTACTCCAGCTGCACGGCCTTCAGAGTCCTCGGGAGCTCCTGCCCTGCGGACAGAACTTCAGCAGGGTACCGCTCCCCAGATCACCCCACTCCCCCATGCCCCCCCCCCCTCACCCCCACCAGGATACCATCATCATTGAACACAAGAGGATCTTCCTGTCAATCAAGAGACCAAAGACTGCCAGAGGAAAGAGACAGGACAGCCCTGACCTGAGAAACTCATCGTCTTCCCTGGCCCCTCCACAGACCACACAAAGAAAACCGATCTTCCTCTCACCTGCTAGGAAGAGCCAGAGGAAGGAAAGGCCCTGACATCTCCTGCTTTCCCCGCTGTTGCCCCCTCCTGATTGTTCTCATTGCTCTTGAGAAGTGCCTGCTTAAAAATGTGAGACTTGAAACTGTTTGTGATAGCAACATTATCAAGTTGCTTGAAACTAGTCTGAAGCATCATTCAAATACCAACCTGTGAGAATACCAGGTGTACAACATATTTTCACGGTAAGCTGAATTCCTGTATTTTGACCTCTTCCTCACCCCCTTGTCCTTACCACCTCAGTCATGCCCTGCATCTCCCAAGCCTTCTCCTGATGAGCCTCAGATGGAGTGGGCATTGCTAGAGAAAGAATTTATACGGAAGTTCGGCCTGACCTACCAAGTCTAGGTGAAGTTGTCCAGAATCCCCCCGGCGGACCTTGAGCCACAGCAGGGTGCCAAACAGGGCCACTCAGCGGAAGAAGCTCATAACACAGCAGGTGGGGACTATCGTCTCAGCTGTGCCATAGCATGCCAACACCAGATTTGTATGAGTCTGCTATGAATCTCCTTGGCACTGCATTGTCAATTGATCAGCAAATACATTCTCATATAACTTGGCAAAGAAATCATTTTAAAATTGACAACCTATTTCCACCTTGTGGTATGTGTAATGTAAATAAAGGCTAGGTGGAGATGAAGGTATCCTGATGATAACCCCTGTTATAAATATCATTCACTTATCAGACTTGAAATATAGCTCTTTTTGTAGAGTTGCTTTTTTAAGTCTGTACAATACACAATTCTCAAATCTACTCTCAAGGAGAACAGGAAAACTGGTGTTTGTCAAAATTTGAAATCCTGTCTACAGCAATTTTTTCTCTCTTTTCCACCATAGGATCAAGTCATACAGAAGATATTGAATGCCAACAGGTTGTCAAAGGAGACACCTGGCAGACGTCCTGAACAGGATATTGAGCTGGTGACCCAAGATGTAGACAAGCCTTTGACTGACGAGACCCAAGAATCTATATCAAAGACAGACAATCGCACCCTTGAAGACTTTAAGGGCAGATGTAGCATTACCACTGAGGTAGATGAAGATGTTCAGGAGGCGGAGCATGAGGAAAAGGGAGGTCGCAATTTGGGTAGTGTGAAACCAAGACGAGTTGATGAAGAGGACAACGATAAGGGTGGAAAGAAGGGTGGGGCAGAGGTCCAAGCCACCAATAGGGACGAGACTGAGGTGGAAAACCTGCCCTCTGATACTGCTGATGACAGCTTACCTCCACCAAAGACCCTGAATGCTGACCAAAGCAGCGATACGGACATGGAAGTTGACGCCACCGATGGTGTCACAGGGGATAGTGTTCAGAGTTGTTCTGTGGAGTGCCCAATGACACCCACTCTCGCCCCCACCCCTAGACAGTATCATGGCTTTGACTTTGAGCAGTCGGCGAGGAAAGGATCAACCGTATCAGAGCACAACTGAGAGAGAGGGAGGCTGCCCTCAACAACCTGCACTCCCCAAGCCAAACGTCTCCAAAGTGGGGTAAAATGATTTCTAAGGGCCCTCACAGATATGTGTTGAATGTCATGGACGATTACTCCACACACTTTCATTTCTAAGCGCTGCTAGAACATCCATACTGTAACTGGTAAAGGTCTATTTTTTAAAAGGTAGAAACCCCATACACCTGTCCGCACCTTATCTTCCAAGACCTGGGATGTGTCACACCCTGATCTGTTTCACCTGTCTTTGTGATTGTCTTCACCCCCCTCCAGGTGTCGCCCATCTTCCCCATTATCCCCAGTGTATTTATACCTGTGTTCTCTGTTTGTCTGTTGCCAGTTCATTTTGTTTCGTCAAGCCTACCAGCGGTTTTCCCCTTGCTCCTGGCGTTCTCAAGTTCCTGTTTTCTAGTTCTCGGTTTTGACCATTCTGCCTGCCCTGACCCTGAGACTGCATGCCGTTTTGTTGTATTCAGCGCATGTGGCCAATAAAATTTGATTTGATTTGATTTGATGTATAGCGAGACACAGAAATTACTCTGTAAAAATGAAAAATATGTGGCCTAGGGTGGTCTAGCGGTCTAGGCCAGAGTTTCCCAAACTTGGTTCTGGGGCCCACCATGGGTGCACGTTTTGGTTTTTGCCCCAGCACTACACAGCTGATTCAACCCTGGTCTAGGCTGCTGCCGCCAGTGCAGGTTTACAGCTGAAGCATGGGTTTGAATCTGGTCCACTGCTATTTCAGCACGCTCTCTTCTATTTTTTATCCTCTATAGCTCTCTATTCAATAAACATACAGACTTTTTATTTATTTTAATGGAACAGGTTAAGGGTTTGTGGATGCTGAAGTTGACAAAAGATATGTTATGTTTGAACGTTTCTTTACTTATAACAGTATGTGAGTTATATTCTATTATGTTCTAATCTAATGATGAACTGGAATGAAATTAATGACCTGCTTCTCCAGTTATCAGACAATACCATGAAATACACATTTTTGATTAATGGCTCTATTCAAACTGCATCGCGGAAGTTCCGTTTTACAGCGTGATTGAAATTTAAAGGCAATTTTCTCACCTTAGTGGAGACTGCATTCACAGTAAACGCTGCATATGTCAGCTCAATCGGAAATTACCTTCACATTCCTATCACGAATCTGTAGCGCTTCAGCTTTACAGATTGAATAGAACCTTTAGACTAGACCGAGACTGTATGCGTCATTGTAGCTTTTCCATTTAGAGAACGTGCCACACATGTCCACTAGATGGGGATCCTTAGCCTTTAACTCCAGTTCATACTACTGTATGGCTCGTTTTCAAACTTGGTCACTGAGTGTCACTTATCACTGAAAGGAAAGGGAAGACCAGGCTAGATGATGTACGCTATTATTGTGCCACACTTCTTCCTCCCATTCTCCCACAACAACAAGCTAGAAGTCATATGAAGTGTATCATAAAGATGGTATTTTAATTCATTTCCAATGCAAATAAATTGAAATCAAGCTAACATTTGAAATAGATTGGCTCAACCGTTATTATGAGTATGTTTGACCATCATTTTCTTCCATAAACAGTATTAAAAAAGTTGCATGAGTCTACCCTCCCATTTCCTGACTAAACCACTTGTGAACACAATAAAGACAGAGCCGGGAAGTGAACAACGCGCACACTGACTGGAAAGCCTGGTGAGAGCTTTTAGTCTTTATATAGTGGCAATCTTCAATGGATTACCCATTATTTTATTTATTCTTTGTGTATCTATTCGTTTTTTTCCTATAAAATTTTAATATTTTATTTACAATACGTACATAGGTTTACAGCAGGCTTGAGTTCAAATACTATTCGAAATATTTCGAATGCTTTGAGCGCTTGCTTTAGCTTGTTCGGAGTATCAAATGGATGGGGTTTGCAATTTTGGGACTGTTCTATTGGTCCATTAAGCCAGACAAGCTCAATCAAGCACAGATAAAGTATTTGAAATTATTTCAAATAATATTTGAACCCAGGTCTGGTATACAGTAAAGTAAACAGAATTGTCATGTGTCATTCCAACATACAACACCTGAACGTTAAGAGATGTGCTTAGTGGAGATGCTTAGTCGATGTTGGCATGGGTTATGCAATATGAAGACACTAGGTCGAGGACGATGCATTGTTTATGCATAGTGAATCATAGCTTGCTCGGAGTACTTGGTGCCAGTTTGATCCTGGTCACAGACTATTGTAGAGCTCCTCTCCACCAACCATTTGGGCTAGATTGATGCCAGGAAAGTGCTTCTTGGGAGTTGGTGGACATTGATCTTGTCATATACAGTAGGAGGGACACAAGAAAAACATGCAGATTAATGAAATAACAATCATAAAGCATTCTCATATAGATGAGAACCAGTAAGCAGTGGGATTTATGCTATCTACTGCTACTGCCTGTGGCTTACCACTGACCTAAATGCTAATGAAGGACGCTGTGCATTCATGTTGTAGCCCATTTCACTAAAATAAAGTAACCCTATATGATTTAGCTGGCCGACAGATAACTTCCCATAAAGTAGAGTGCCATGTGTCAAATGGTGTGTCAGAAATGATTCGGTTAGAGAAAGGGATAATAACATGTTTCAGAAGTATTACTTTATTGTTGATGATAACCTGTGTTTGAAGGGAGGACACACGAAAGTGGTGAAATTGGGAGATTGGCCATACATCATACACACCTGTCCGTTGCAGATTCATGTTTAGTTTATTAGTATAGTAATTTATGACTCATTATATTGAAAGAGGAAATTCCCCTGGGCCTGGGTTAAAGGGTAAAGTCAGCTTCTGCTCACCGAGGTGTGCACAGTACACACTTTAACATGCATACGTCCTCATAAGGTCAAATGCACCAACAGCCTTCTTGGAGTAAGAACGAAAGACTTGGCAGTGAAAGAGAAATAAATAAAATTAAGAGTAAAGAGGTAATGAAGGACAGCATTGGAGAGAGAGAGGTATGGGGGCTTCAACTTGACAGAATGGTTCAAGCGGTACAACTAAGCCACCATTCTCTCTAACAGTGGTATTTGCCTGGGTAGAGGTGAACTGCGTAGTTGACCTACAGATCGAACCAACCATCCAAAAAATATTGAGGACAAGGTCAGAGTGGATATACCTACAGATTGATTCTGATTGGGCAAGAGATTGTACCTCGGAGAGTATGTATGTCGGCCTGACCCATTTCAATTGTGTTCTACGTGTTTTGAGTTCAAGGTTGCACTACGCAGCATTACCTGTGGGATTTAATTTAGGCCTATGTTTGGAGACATCTTTAACAGACATTTTTATTCACTATGCAAAGCACAGAAAAATAGATATTGGTAAATACACTTTAAATGTAAGGTATATACCGGATAGGTGTAAAAATGAGAACAGAGAAAGAGAACAAAAAACTGACAAACGTGTATTGCACAGTCCGTGAGGGTTAGAGCGAGTCAATTGTGTATTCAGTTCTTTTTTTGCGACCCTTGGATAATTTTTGTCAAAGCAGATTTCTTCAGCATCATCTCAATTGTTGTGTAAGAGGCACATTTCAAATACTTTTGCATCTCACAATTTCCTGTCAATAAACATCATATGACAGGAAGAGAGGAGAAGTGTTTGATCTACTTGACAGGGTGCAGGTGCTATCAAACTAACACAATTTCACTTTTACTTCCTGTGGCTAGTGCTAACAGCACAACCACTGCGTTTGGAGACTTCCTCTTATTATGAAGATATGAAGACATCCAACTTACTCATCTTATTTGAGTAGAATAATGGCTGTAATTAACTATTAATACACAGAGAATATAAAAATAAATCATATTAAATAATACAGATTGATCAAATTAAGAAATACATGACATAACAACCTGGTGTTAAATGTGAGTTATTCTGGTGTTTCTTCTTTCTTAGTGTTTGTGTCGTAAAATTAAACAACCATGAGCTGCAGCATATGGAAAGCCCAAAATTTGTAAGGTTTATTTAGATAAACTTTCAAACCTAATCGACAGTTAGATTACCAGTAACTTCCATTACTCAGGAGATGAGATAAAGAGAGAGAGAAGATTATCCATACTGGATGGCCGCCATTTTCCAAGCTCCGACCCAACTTTGCTATTTTGTGATTCTTTTGTTGTTTATTTTCTCTAAATGTATCCACTATCATTTCTTACAACCGACAACAACTTTTGAACATCAGATTCGGCCGTTACTTACCTCAATTCCGGCTCATCTGCTCTGGGCTCTTTCTGTAATTCCGACAAGATTTTCGGGTTACCCAAGAGGAAACGCCGACGTTACAGAGGCAAGAGAGGGGGATCCTGGCTAAATTTAGGTTAAGGGAGAACCGGCCACCTCTTCCCTCCATTCTACTGGTCACTTGATAATAAGATACATTACCTCCGATCATGGATTTACCACCAACGGGACTCTCGAAACTGCAATATTCTCTGCTTTTCTGAAACATGGCTCTGGGACAAGATATTCAACTCTATGGATTCTTCATTCACAGTGCTGACAGGACAGTGGTGTCGGGGAAATAGAGGGGGGAAGGGGTTTGCCTCTTCATCAATGTCACACCCTGGCTCTGGGACTCTATATGTTGAGCCAGGGTGTGTTCATTCTATGTGTTCTGTTTCTATGTTGGGTGTTCTAGGTTGTGTATTCTATGTTTGCCTGAGTGACTCCCAATCAGAGGCAACGAGTGTCAGCTGTTGGCTGGTTGTCTCTGATTGGGAGCCATATTTATACTGTCTGTTTTCCCTTGGTGTTTGTGGGTTTTTGTTCCGTGTTCGGTCATTGTCACCGTGGACTTCACGAGTCGTTTATTGTTTTGTGCTTTAATATAATAAAGTAACATGTTCGTTCATCACGCTGCGCCTTGGTCTACTCCTTACCTCGATCATGACAATCAACAACAACTGGTGTGCTGACTTGAGCGCGGTGGAAGTGTCGACCCATTGTTCACCCG